GGGTATGAGGAAGGGGAGCAATTATGATCTGCGTAAATTGAAAGGAAACCTTACACAAGAAAATGCAGAGGGTCTGCTGAAACCTTGTAAAGCGTGTAGTCAACGAGCGAACGCGGTGTTCTTTATTCATTCCTCCTTTCAACCACTGTCAATAATTTCATCCCAGTAGAAACCACCACCATTATCTCCCCGGGCTCCGCCCAACTTGCGTGTTTATTTGATTGAGTAAAGAGAAGCGCATTGACCAACAAAACAAAAAAACCCGGACAGTTAGAGCTGCGAAGAGTAAAGCTTCGACACAGCGCCTCCACGGACCAAACAGAAAAAAGTAGGCCTAATAATAACGGTTGCATTGAACACTATAACATTTCACCCTTTGGCTTCCATAGCAGTTAGACTGAGGTAATTGCATTTATAACTGTTGTGAGGCCAGAATGTCTGTGTGTCACGTGTGTCAACGTGCTGTATTGAACGTGTAGTTCAAGTCACCATTCCATCTTCGAGAAAACCAGTGCATAATTGAACGAGCCACAGCAAACCTCCAACAATAATTAACTCAAGTGAGTCAGTATTGACACCGCCCTCTCGCTTCCTGACAGGCACAGTACAATGACAACGTCTGTTCATTCTAAATGCAAATGTTTAACGCCCCCCCCGACACCCAAAGACTGAAATTTCACCGAAACAAAAACAATAACAACAGCAGACAAAACAAAAGAAGCAAAACCAAAACGAAATCCAAAAACAAATATATTATAACAAATAGAAATAAAGAGAAACAAACAGTATATCAAAACAAGAAACTACCAAAAACAAAACCAACCAAAAACAAACACCAAGAAACGAACAAAAACAAAAAACAAAAAAACACCAACAAAACAATACTGCATCGAAATCTCAGGACAACCAAAGTCCAAAGCGGACAGAGCAATAACAACATTGAAACAATGAATGGTTTGTGTAGCTGTGTGGAGTCAATCTCCTGCAGGGGGAAGACTGATGATTACGAGTCATTAATTGGATAGATGTTAATTAAAAGACTGTACAGATGGAAAGAGAAAAGAATCAAGCACTCCCTGTTGGAATGCTGTGGGTCGAAAGCCCCCTACCCCATTCGTCCCCCTCCCTCCCTTTTCTACTCCCCCGAGAAAAATATAAAACCAATGAAAGAATTAATAGGCAAATGAATTTAAACGAATATTGAATGAATGAATGAATGAACGAATGAAAGAATGAATGAATGATATATTATGAATTACAGAACAGAACACAAACGAAACAACCCCCTCCTCCTCACACGCACACAGGAAAACATACGGCCAGCAAAACAAAATTAAAAACAGATGAAAAACATCAGTTAGGGATTTGGTAGGTGGGGGGG